GGCAAATCCTCAATCACTTGTCCCTTGCCTTCCTGCGCGCCTTCCTTCTTGCAAATGAGAACTGCGTGCGGAAAGGAAAGAACAAGCCTCTGAGTAGCAAGGGCAGGATAAGAGCAGGGATTCTCCACCTCCTCTCCGATACCTTCTGCCGCTCTCTCGTCTCTTTCTTTGCTTCTTAGTTTCTGAAATGATGGCAGCCGAGGGAGAAGGAATGAAAGAAGAGAGGAAGACAGGTGCACATGGGCATCCTTATGTGCTCGTCCTGTTTCACTTTTGCTGCTTCGCGGATGAAGGAAATATATGAACAATAGCAGAACTGAGCTTGGGGGGAGATGTCAGGAATGGCAAGTTCTTCGTTCGCTTGTCTTGTCGTGTTTTCTCAGAGAATTACATATCGAAAGGCTGCGTGGGCCTTTTTCCCCACCTGCCCCTTTTCTTGCCGACGCTCTCGCTCAGAAGAAGGAAGGAGAAGAAGAAGAAGAAGAAGAAGAAGAAGAAGAAGAAGAAGAAGAAGAAGAAGAAGAAGAAGAAGAAGAAGAAGAAGAAGAAGAAGAAGAAGAAGAAGAAGAAGAAGTAGAAGAATAAGTAGAAAGAAGGGGCAGCACAAAGAAGAGGTCATGTTCCTGCCTATGTCCACCCTCTCCCCTCTACCTTTCTGCGCTTTCTTGACCAGAAAGGTCGCCAAGCAGGGGGGGGGGGGGGGCAGGGCCTTCGTTTCCCAGTTTATTCAAGTTTCTTTTTACCTGCGTCAAGCTGGGGATGAAGAAACAGATGAGGACGGGAGAGAGGGAGAGAGAGAAAGCGAGGGAAAAGAGAGAGAGAAAGTGCACGAAGAGGAAGGGCGACCAACCATTTTAAGGGTTTCAACGGGTTTGAACAGTTGTGTCTTCTTGTGCGACCCCAGCGAACCACCACCCCATCATTCCAAACAGACTCTACGGCATCCTCTGAGGATCCAGGATGTCGTGCTCCCAGTAGCTGTTCATTATGTTGGTATCACAGCAAGCTCGTCTGTAGAATCGTGTGGCAAGTGAGAAAGCCTTTCTCTGCACCTTAGCTTGTTCGCCCGTGCTGATGCCTCATTCGCGGGACAAGGGGAGAAGAGAACGAAGGAAGGTATACAGTACAGGAAGGGGGAGGCAAGAAGGAGGATTTTTGCCAGGATCGCTGGGCTGCAAGGCTCTAAACCCAAAAATAGTCCAAGCAAAGCTCCCCATTTGGACAACCCGGGCCCCTGAACCAAAACACCGTAGCCACTTTCCGAAGCCCTGCACAATCCCGAATGACGTGTACAAAGATGCCATGTATGCCAAGGAGGGACCCTGGCTCGAAGTCCACGATCGCCACGGACTTCGAGCGCCTGCCGCGAAGCAAGAAGGCCACATTGCCAGGCTTTACCTACCATGAAGGTCGAGGCGCCCATAAGTAGAAACTTAGACCCAAACGGGCCTACAATAAGGCCTGTGAGGCAACTACAATGGGGCCCAAGTAGTTCCCATTCTTGATCATCGCACGTGGATGTTTTGCGCTGGAGAACTGTCTTTTGGTTGGCTTTCAGTTGCTCTGGCTTTTAGAGTCTTTCAGCGTAGTAGAGTTTGGGAGAAGATCAATGCTGTGTACTTGCGGGTCATCCGTTGTAGCCCTCTTCGAGGTACAAAGTACCTTCCCCGTTTTGGTGGGGCTTACAAGCTTTCTGTTAGTTTAAACGTCTTAGATTTAGAGTGGTAGGGCGTTTTTCTTCTCGAGGGTCGTATTACCTACGGTTGCTTCATTTGCAGGGTTCGGGGTTTTAGGTAGCCTCCTGGGCCTTTTCGGATCTACTTTTTGTCAGCAACAAGTCTTCCAGACAGTTCGCGCACACTTTCTTGCGGGGAGCATACACGTGCTTTGGTCATCTGCAAACCGTCGCACCCTATCCAGGCAGGTCCACTCACAGTACTCTTGCGGAATCATGCGCCGCCAAATGGTGTGGAATTGGGCAGAAAACATCGACGCTCTGCATTTGAGGTTTTGGTGGCGTGCTTCAACGATTCAGGGCTCGAGGATGGTATTGTGAGTGGGGCCTCGTGAAGCTGTTTGGCAGTGTATTTTAAAGCCCTGAAGCTCTACTTCGTCTTGCACGAAGGCCACAGGATTGACTTCTGAACAGAACAGTACTTCAATAGTCTTTTCCGAGCTGAATTTGAGGCCCAAAAGCGTGTATAATCCCTACAAATCCCTGCAAGTGTGATGCTGGTGCAGGGAACTCAGCCCCGACCCTATCGGGACAGGAAACTTCGGTTTGATTCAGAGCTTAGAGCTTCCGTAGGGCTTTAGGAATAAAGATGTTGGTGTTTTGGATGATGCATGTGTGGGAGGCCATTTCTGCGGCCAGATTGGCCAGAGTCCCAGGCGCTCCGCTGAAGATTGATTGTACCAGCGAAGATGCCACAGGTCTGAACCTTAAATCCTCAACATTCCTCAACCCCATCAATTCCACAAGCCCTATGCGCCCCCAGATCTAAGACTGCGAAGCGGGGTTTCTCATGATGCCGTAGAGATGGGCAACAAGGTGCGATTCTGCCGGAACAACCTCCGCATGCACTCTCTGGAATTCTGTCTTGCATCATTGTCCCAATGGTGCTGAGGTTGTCCTACACGGGTTCCTTGTAAATACGGCCCCTTAAAGAGCGTGTTAGCATAGCCCCCATGCATGACCTCCCCCCTAAGCTCGTATACACCCCAGGTCCTGAACCCTAAACCGAGACCCTAAGCCCTAAACCCTAAACTTAACCCTAGAACTCATAGCGTTCGCTGCCATAAGGTCCGAGCAGGAGACGGGCACGTGGACACAGCCTCCTGGGTGGCCATATTGAGCGATCTCATCCGCTGCGCGCCGGGGCCTGAACTGCGCCTCGACGGCTTGAGGTTACTGGTAAGGGATGTTAAGGCTGGTAAGGGTTTTGTTCAAGGGCCGGGTGAAGGGTCGGATTTGAATGATATACCAGAGAGAGCTCTAAGGTACCGTATTATTGTTCTTCCCCGATTTTCCGGGGGCATTTTGAGCTCAAGGGAATAGGTTACGGTTTTGGTGCTCTCAGCCTTAAACCCAAAAGCTCCGAAACCGAACCGAATACCCAAATCCTGAAGCAGAACAGAAGATCTGAACAAGGAATGGTTGAATGCAGCCTCTGGCTTATGAGGCACACGTGGGTAGGAATATTCACGTGTGTTTCAGAGCATTCCTGCCGCTTGTGTATTCTCTCGGCCTGCAGCCGCGGCGCTGCGCCAGAAGATGCCCTTCCAACAATCCCTAAAACTCCCCTGAAAGCCCAAAGCAGCCCAAGAGTCTGGAAGCCGCCACCAGGTCAACAGCTGTCACAGGATGCCGATACGAAAATCCCGGGCCAAACATGGTGTTTGAAGAGTCTATCGGGGCGTGTACAGGTTTTTTGGTGCTTCTGGGATCCTGGGCAGGCCGCAGATGTCTCCGGTACTCGCTGTTTCCCTGGGCAGCGGAGCCGGGTTCCTCAGCAAAAGGCTTATTGCCTGTCTAAGCCCCCTGGACGATTCTCAGACGTCTTGTGGTTTTGGATGTGTCCAATATGTGTCGAAGATATGGAAAGCATTGCCTAGCAAGGTTTTCCTCTACTTGCCTTTCGGGCTATAGCTTCACATATCATAGGCTACCGTACAGAAGCTGCGGCATGATAATCGCATAAATGAAAGGTTTTCATCTCTGCAAGATGCCTTTTCGAATTGGACTCCTGACTTAGTAAGGACTCCGAATTGGAGGAACACCCTAAACCATCCAAACCCCTAAACTGAGGTGGCTAAACTCGGGCTTACCTCAAAGGGCCGGGTGTCGACCTCAGTCCAAGCTGTTCATTTCAGCACACTAAGGTTTTGGGGCTTGGGAAGGGTTTAGGGCTCAAGGTTTTGTGGTTTGGGGTTTGGAAGGTTTAGGGCGGATTTGGGGCTCAGGCCTCAGGAATGGTCTTTCAGGTGTAAGGTTGAGGGGTGAGGGTTTTGAGCTTTGACCAATTTCGCGGCAGAGCAACAACTTAGTCTCCAGGGCTGTGTAGCCCTAAACCCTAAACCGTAAAGTCTTTCACTTAGAGCCTCAGGCCTGTCAGCCTTAGCCCAGACCCCAACAGGCAACAGGAGTTCAGGTTGAAGTTCTAATCCAGCATTTGCCCCTGAAGCCCCCGAAGCCCCAAAAGACTCTTAAGACCAACTCCCAAACCCTGAACCCTCTCGGCACATCCCCTCATAGCCCTGTGGCCGTAGTGTGAGTTGGCTTGCCGGCCAGCTTCCTCCGCGCCGAAGAGCATAGCCGGTTTCCAGCTCAAGCACCGAATGCAACGAATGCTGGCTCAGAATTGTTCGACGTCAGCTGTCGTGAGTTTTTTTGCTTCATTAGAGTCATAGATGGTTCCCTGGGTGCAAGCCGGCCTACTCCCTACGCAGCCCACCACTCCCGCCGCCCTCACTCCCCCCTCTACCCCCTACCCTCTACCCCTTACCCCCTCGACCTTCCACCTCTAGCCCTACCCCCTACCCCCTACTCCGCTCCTAACCAACTTCTAGTACCGCCTCTGGCCCTCCCCCCACCCCCCTAGACCTTCCACCCCCTCCCCTCTAGCCCTACCCCCCTAAACCCATTCCTGGCCATGATGGGCAGCAAGAACGTTTTGTTGGGCTGCATGCTCCTGCTCACATGCTGGGTTGGCTTTCGGCTCCTGTCAGATCCTTTTATCAGTACAGCAGCTTCGCAGTCGAGCCGGACGTGCTTGATTACAATTTCATCATTTAATAACTATGGCTTTGTCCGGGTGTTGCTGAAGCAGGCCGAGGCGCTGCATCCTGAAATGGTTTTCATTTGGGTCGTGGCGGACGACACACTTGTTCGAGCAAAAGATGCAGACAAAGAGCTGCCTATGCAGATCCTTAGACAAGTCCCCAACAGGTGGCACGCTGTTACTGCTGATCGCCTCCAACCATACATGTCCTTCAGCTACATGGAACTTGCCTTTCGCTACAATATGCAGTGCTTTAACACTGCCATAAAGCCTGCTGCTTTCAAATACGCCTTTGATAAGCACAACTGTCGGAAGGTATTGTATTTTGACAATGACATTTGGATCCTGCAGCCCCTTACAACCATCATTGAGGCGCTTGACCAGTACCGACTAGTCGTCACTCCGCACGTAACACAGGAGGTGCCCCTGGACGGTCTCCACCAAGACGAACGAACTCTCATGCTTGCTGGGCAATTTAACTTCGGATTTATTGCTGCATCGAAGAGTGAGCTGACCCTAGAGTTTCTCGACTGGTGGTTGAACCGTCTGCGCTATTATGGGTATGCAGAGCCGCGCAAGGGCATGCACTTCGATCAAAATTGGGGCCAGCTGATGGTGTCTTACTTACCCCAAACGGAGTACCTGGTACTGAGAGACCCGCGGTACAATGTCGCGTATTGGAACCTTCATTACAGAGGCATTCATCTACACATGGAGAATGGCGTTGTGCTGTATGACTCGGAGCCAGTTGTATTCATGCATTTCTCAGGCATGTCTGACCTGCACAAGTACAATCTGGACACTAGGATGCAGTGTGGTACCCCAATTTTCAGTTTAGTGATGCGTTTAGGAGTTGGGTTCCCTTCCGAAACTACGCTCACCCTCTCCGCCCTTTGACGTCCTAGTTTGCTTGTCGTTTTAGGAGTCCATTTCACCGCACCAAAATCGCTTCAAGATGGTCGACTTCCCAGAGCTCCGGGAGATCGTGACTAGCTACCAAGCAATGTTGCAGAAAGAGGATGCCTGGCGATGGCGAAATGTGTCCTACAACTTCGAGTACTTCGATGATGGGACTTCTATTCCGATGGTGATCCGTCAATACTATGCTGACATGATGGATCCGGAGGAGCCTTTTCGCAATGACAAGAATCTGTTTAAGGAACTGGTCGCACACGAAAGTCCATTCGCCGTCCATGCGGACAGTGGCAAATTCAGCTTGCTGGACTGGATGCTGCAAGGTGCACACCACTTGCTTGTGGAGCAGTCGGGCCAATACCTGATATGCGAGCTGGTGTGGCAAGTTTATCTCCACAGACCTGACTCTTGCTTGGCTATAGGAGCTTGTAGATATTAATTTGGTACGAGTGCAAAGAAAACGCTGTATACAACTGCAACCATGAGCGTCAGAACGGCGCAGGATTTGCGGGCAGCCTTTCCGGATCCTTTCGGGAAGAGTGCAGAGAAATTGTTCAACTGGGCTCAGCAAAATTTAGCCACTGAGCTTGACCTCGAGAGTCTCCTGACACAACATTTTGAGAGAGAACAGCACCGGCCTATGCCGAACTTCTCCAAAGGCGTCAACATCTACGGCTACTTCTTAGGAGTCTTCGGGGTGGCCCAATCTGCCCGGTTGCTACATGGGGCCTTGAAGGAAGTCAAGGTGCAGAGAGCCGTGCAGAGAGCCATGCAGAGCCTGTATAAAATAATCATAGACTATACTACATCCCATATCCCCCTTGGGAACCATTTTGTTTACTTTTGCTTATATACACCCCAGAGGATACTCAGAATATTATTTTTTTAAGGTTCGAGTAGGAGTATAGTATAGTCACAAAAGTCTTCAGCCCCCCCAGGCTTTCTCGTGTGAGCAGGTGCAGACCCACCGCATTCTCCTTCCCTCCACCGACAAGCAGCACAGATCGAGCCTTCTTCGGTTGAATGCCTCCCGCACTCCGCGGCATCGGACGAATCTGTTTGTCACAAACGCAGACATGACACCGGTACTACGGCGTTTCGAGGATGCCTGGAAGTAGCCCGATTTCCTTGTTGTGGGGTTACGATCCCTTTTCAACATTCCCAAGACAGTGCTTGCACTGTTCCTTTGGTCAGAGTAAAGGAAGCTGATAGGTCCTCCCGTCGCGACCACGTGGCATGAACGCGCTTTCCGTCCGGTAGAGGGGATCTGCAGCTTGCAGTGTTCCAACTCCTTTAGCCTTGGTCCTGTGTGGGCGCCATGAGATGCTAACCTGTTGTCGCCTTTGAATCCCTTGGGTTATCCTCTTAGAGAGGTCTTGGAACGGTTTTGGCGCGTGGTTCGGGGGTCATCTCGGAGCAGTCTTGGAGTGCTCTTGAAATGATCTTGAGGCGGTCTCGCCGGATTCAGAAAGCCTCCTGAAACCAGACCAAGGGCCCAGGCCCAAAACCCCTAAGGGGCCACCCAGAACCTAGGTTTTTATCCTGATCGCCTTCGGAAGATGCACTACAACATCGGATATTGGGCATGGGAGCTGGACACGTTTCCAGAAGAATGGATAAAACACTTGCGCTTCTATGACGAGGCGCCGCCCACCATGGAAAGCTTTTTTGGGGCTTAGCGGTTTAGGGTTCAGAGTATAGCCGTAAACCTTGAAAGTCAGGTATGGACCACCTCCGATTTCGTCACGGAATCGATCAAAACCAGCTGCCAAGCCAGCGGAATGAAAATCAGAACGCCTGTTGTGACAATGCCCATGGGCTTTGACATCAACTTCGTACTTTGGAGCCATCCTGGGAGCGTGTTCTCATAGTCAGTTTAAATCTGAGGAGGCTCGAACGCCTAATAACCCCAAGGTATCAAAAGGCACTTTAGCAGAGATAAAAAGAAGAAAAAGAAACGAAGGACCATTACAGGAAGGCTAAGTCCCGCTTCGACCTGCCAAAGCGCACCGTCGTGTTCTTGGTGGCCTGGCCGCATGTGCGCGGGCTCGGGGGCCCAGAGTCCGGCTGAGGCCTTACAGGCTTATGTAGGCTTCTCTTTAAGTTGTTTGCCTTTCCTTTTTTGTCAGTGTTCCCAGCGGGGTCCAGAATTTTTTTATAGTTATCGTGCAGCCAAATTCACATTCTAATTAAGCAGGCCCCTGGTTTGGATACAGTCTTGCTTGCCGATGTGCACTATCCTCGCTGGAAAGCTATCCGCCGGAATCCCATCTTTGATGAGTGAATGAGCCATTAAAGGGATGTTACATAGTTGGCCGCGGGCTTTGGGCTGCAGAGGTCGCGGTGTGCTCGGGTGTCTGCTTACCAACAGCTGGGATCATGTGCCGCGTGCCTCTCCTATCTCCATCACTTCGATCGACCCTAGCATTTTGTCGAGCTCATCTAAAGCCCCCAATGTAACGCAACATGCACAAGTACCCCAAATAAAAGAGTGTTTGTTGAAGGGGGGGTTCACGGACTGCAAGCAAAAATGCTCTAAATGCCAGTTTGGGCATGTTCGCCAAAGGCATGAACGTTTGCGATAATAGCGTGTCTTGTTCCACATCCTTGTGCAGTCTGCTGATGAGAGGTAGAAACCGCTGTGAATGCAAGTGTTTCGGGCATTGTCGCCATAATTGGCCCACCGCCCCCGATCCCCCCACGCCACAAACACACACGCGGGTGCGATTGCTCGGCAGAAGTACAGTGCCTCACTTGAAAGTTCATCGGTGGTGCTGAGAGGGGTTGTACGTGCCCCGAAGAAGCTTATAGCATGGTGACCCCTTGAAGACTAACCCAATTAACACCAGACCCCCAAGTCCTTCCCATACCACGGGAGGGCATCCTATTTGCCCGCCAAAGGTGCTGTTCGACTTCCAAAGCTCTTTTCACCGCATCTAGGCTTTGAAGTGGCGTCCGTTTTTGTTTTCCCGGTGCCTACCAGATTATTCCCAAGTACGTTCAGGTTTAGGATTTAGGGGCTCGGGTTTAGGTTTTCGTTTGCAGTCCTTGAAGCCCAGGCAAGAACCCCTTGGGCGCACTGGAAGCCTTCCGGTTTGCGTTTGAAGGCCGCGGGCTGGGAGAGGGGCTTACTATAGTGCCCTTGTGTGTCAGGATTTCGCCTGAAAATGAACAGAAGCCAATCAACATTATTTGTTCCTGGGATCACTGCCGGGATCTAGGAGACTCGCCGGACTTGCCGGACGTTCTGCTCGTGATCAAGTGTCTTGTACCTCGAACACATGGCTTCACATTTGAGCAGGAGTTCCTTGAGCTGAAGCAGGCTCCCTGGGACTAAATGAACCCTAGATTAATGATCTTGTTAAATGATACGCCATGCTACCATAGTCCGACTAAAGCTCAAGGGTTCGTTTCGGCCCTAAGCCCTGATCCCTAAATAGGCTGTGGACAAGAGCCGTCGTGTCCGACTTATGACGGACGCCCTCACCACACAGGAGCTGTCCACAATCAAGTCTTGCTCTCTTTAGGGTCTCGTGGTCCCGACACCCAAACCCGAACCTCAAAGCATCAGCCCCCCCCGGGAGCCCCGCAAACCCAAAAATCTACCTAAGCCCTAAACGCTTGCGTGCTGTTCAATAGCATCGGTTTCATTGCACTGCCAGAAGATGCATTCGCTCATGGCCTCAGTGGATGTATTGGTTTCAATGCATCGTTCAGAAGGCTTTGGCCTCCCATTGCCACCTGGGCGCAACTTCTAGAGCTTCCACCTTTCCAGGTCTAGGGGTTAGAGGGGAGGCATTTGGGGTGTAGGATAGCCAAAGCCCACAAGCCCTAAACCCGATTTTCAAAAGGCTGGAAATGCTAATGCTGGGCAAGCCAGTAATCGCCACAGCCTACAGTGGAAACATGGACTTCATGTCCAAGCTGCCAGAGGACTTTCAGTTCCTCTTGATTCCATATCGCTATGTGCCTCGGGGATGAAATGAACCTCATGCTCAACCCCCATGTACATGGACCCGGGAGTAAAGTCGGCCCCATGCAAGGTGGGGGTCAACGTGTCAGAGCCGTTCAAGCACATCTACAGATCGGACCAGCGCTGGGCAGATCCAGATATTGCGCCTGGACCGTAAGTGAGTTTAGCTGTTTCTCTTTAAACAATGGTACCAGTAAGTTGTTCGGCGGTTTCAAGAAGCAGTAAAGGAGCAAGCCGCCAAGGCAATGGTAATGTTGGCTTCAAACCAAAGCCTCCGGGACAGATGTGAAGCTGTAGTTGGGCCTTTGTTCCGGGAAACTTTTGGCCAGTGGAGCGTTGGCATGAGAATGAAAGCCCGACTGCGAGCTATTCATGGGAAGTCTTCTTGACGCGCAGGAGGCCAAATTGGAATTCGGCGGTGTCGAAGATTCCACGGTTCTTTGGTTTTAAACGTGGTGAACACACTACCGTGGGCTGGATGAAGCGCCTGAAGAGCTTTCTAAACCCTGATGTGACTGGGCACTGCGTCTTGGTCTGACGAGAACTCTAAGGAGTTGTCTGAAAGTCGTCGTTCCTTGCAGGCGAGGCACTGACTTTCTGCTGCCGAAAGCTGGCTGAAAACATCTTGCCGTTTCTAGTTTCTAGCTTCAAGGTTTCAAAACGTTAAACCCACGTATGCATCATCTCCTCGACCCGTAAGCCCCTCAACCCTATAAACCCCAATTACCTTTCGTCCCCAGGTTACACGGGAACCTAGGACATGAGAACAATGAGAACACTTTCAAATGGCGGAGCTTGCAGGGAAGGAAGCTAAGTCAACATGCGGGCCTCGGATCTATTCACTAAGGCCTTCCGAAGTCTACCTCTCTACCATGAAGCCTTAATACCTCTTTGCCGCAGGCTCCATCCCTCAAGCGTATGACACCTACCTCGACTCAAGCCGTCTCAAACTCCCAAACCCTAAACGCTTAGTTCATAAGGGCGCTTGGACAATAATGTTGAAACCTGTTTTAGACAAATATAACGGTAAGATGAAGCACAGCACAACAGGAATGACACCTAATGAAGCTCACAAGGACGAGAATAGTGTAGAAGTAAAAGCAAATTCAGTAATGAAAGAGAAGTATTTAAGAAAGTATCCTAACATCAAAGAAGGGGATGAAGTTAGGGTATTTACTAAAGTGGTGGAAATTATACCAGTCGCAAAGAGACCAGAAATCAGTGGAGTGAAAAAGTTTATGAAGTGAAAGAAGTTAGTAGAGACACACAGTTGAATAAATATTATGTTGTTGAAGGACTGAGTAAGAAGTATATGAGACACGAGTTATTATTAGTTAATTCATAAAATATGCACAAGGTGTGTCATTAAAAAACTTTACAAAAAGGACTTAAAGATAAAACGCCTTAGTATATTAGGGAGATTATGACTGAATATTTTACAGAAGTGGAACAAGAAGAAATCATTAATGAATTCTTGAATGCTTGTGGAGAAAAGCAAGAACAGGAAGAACAAGAAGAACCAGAAGAAGATTTTAAACTGCAATATGATAGACTTTTATCAAAAGCAGGAGAACATATAATTCATATTAAACAAATAGAAACAAAAAATTATGTGCCAATCAAAGAAGCAATACTAAAATTTATGGAACAAGCCCAAAACGGACGAAATTATTTAGATGAACCATATGTATATACTCGTAAATTAACATGGTTTAAAAAATTAAGTGCATATACCAATTTGTTAAACATACACAAGAAAGGAACACGTTTTGTTTGCAGTAAAGAACGGTTGGAGCAAATAGATTTTAAAATAATTGAACAACCAAGCGTATTGCATATAGAAATATGCATAATTAACTAAAAGACAATTAACTAACCATTAACATAATATTAATTTTCTGGGGTTTTTGTGATGAATCTTGTGAATAACGAATTAGGTGGATACTCCTTAGAAAGTTAATATTTTGTTATTTTTTTGTGATTTTGGTGGTGGTAAATTGGATACTCTTTGAAAAATGTGAAAAATCTGGTGTGGAACACTTCAAGAAATGGTGAATGAATGAGAGTGCGAAAGTTGATGAAATGAATGAGGTAATTTGTCCCTAGAAACCCCCTGTATAAAACGAATGAGGTAAAGTGAGTGAAAAACGAATGAAGTGGATGATTACCAGTTGGTAAATGACATAACAGCACAGGCGGGCAATGTGTAATGTACCAGTCCTCAGAAACCCCCTTTTACTTATTTTTTCCCCCACCCCCCCCACCCCCTTCACCCCCCATCCCTCCCCTTGTCTTCATCGCTACCCCTCCCCTACCCATAACACCACCACTTTTTCTCCAACTTCCCTCCTCTCCCTACCCCTCCCACCCTTCTCTCCACTTACCCCCGCTCCCCTCCCCCTGTGGGCCCCTCCCCCGACCATCTGCTCCGCCCCTGACCAATCTTTTGTATTTGAGACTCCACCCCTACCTGCCGCCCCCAACTCCCTAATCCGCCACCAACCCTCTACCGTCACCATTCCTCCCGAACCCTCCCTCCCCATCCCTGCCCTGCACCGCTCTCATCACTACCCCCTCCCCACCCTCTACTTACCCATCCTCCTCCGCTACCACTTTTTCTCCAACCACTCCCGCTGCGCAACAGAATCCACTGGGCCACCAACCCCTTCCCCTGCCCCCCTCCCCACCACCCTTCCCCTTCCCAACCGTTCCACTCCACCTCTCCACTTGCTCCCCCCTCTCACCGCCCTCATCATTACCCCCTCCCCACCCTCTCCCATCCTCCATCACCCTCCCACCACCAACCCCTTCCCCTGCCCCCCCTCCCCACCACCCTGCCACTTCCCAACCATTCCACTCCACCTCTCCACTTACCAAGCCCGCTCCCCTCCCCCTTGGCGCCCCCCCCCGACCGCCTACTCCGCCCCCTGAGCAATTTTTTGCCCTGCCTTCCACCCCTAACCCTCCCCCCGCCAACCCCTTCCCCTACCCCCCCTCCCCACGACCCTTCCCCTTCCCAACCATTCCATTCCACTTCTCCACTTACCCATCCCCCATCCCTTCCCGTATAACCCGCCTACTCCGACCAATTTTCTTGTGTTCCAGGGCCAATTCCTTGATCAGTATACGCCCATCCTGACCGCTCCCCAAACCTTCCGTCCCCAACTCCCTAATCCGCCACCAATCCTCTATCCTCCTCTGCTCTGTGCCCTCTTTCACTTACCCCCTCCCCCTCCCCACCCTTTACTCATCCTCCTCCCTCCCACTTCCTCTCCAACCACTTACCTCACCTCCACCTACCCTTCCCCCCCACTCCCACCACCACCCTGCTCCGCCCCTGACCAATCTTCGGGTTGCGGGTACGGGGGCAACCGAAAGGGAACAGGAAAAGAAACCAACCCTCAACAGTCGCCTATATGGATTTCCCAGATCGAACCAGAAACAAGAACACCCACCCCTAAGGGGACAGGATAAGGGAGAAGGGACGGGACTACTCCAACCCGTTAAACCCAACCCCAGGCGTACGTACTTTTTCAACAAAAGCTGACGGCTCTTGGCCATCAAGAAGGATTTCCGGGTACGTTGACCCTTCCAACACCCAACACTAACTCCTTTCTACAATACCAGTTGCAGCTCCGCACTCCCCCTGTCCTAGGATTTCCTAGGACACATTGGAGGTGCAGATCTTTGGCCAAAAACTGCCATTAGGGCAGCAGCCAGCTGCTCGAAATGCACAATATGGTTTTACGTCATCCAGGACGAAATTATAGCACATTGGCTAAACCCACTAACCACAGAGAATCTTTTTTTTTTTGATCCTCTTTTCATTGAAGACTCTTCGGCCTTCTTCACCACAAACCGTGGTCTTCGCTACGCGAAAAGCTACTGACTTCTACTATCAGGGATTTACATACCCTTAATAGTAACCACCACATTTTCAGCGCATTGGCTGTTCCAGCGCACCTGTCTCCAGAAAGAGAAAAACCATCCCTTCATCCATACCATCCAATCACTTCTTTTTCCGATTGTTGGCAATTCTGAGGTGAAGTTGCAGCAGAATATACTCCAGGTCCGAAACTGTAAGAACAGGATCCTGCACGCACCTTTGAATTGAGGATACCAATCCTTCTCTCTTTGCGTCCTCAATCGCTTGGCAAGATTGACCCAGCTCTGCATTCACAGTGGTAGACGCTGCATCCACATCAGATGGACGATCCTTTTCCTCAGGACCTTGCACCATTACCACCTCTTCCTTTTTGGGACTCTGACTTTTCTCCTTCTTCTTCGTCTTTCCACCGACATTTGACTTTGTGCGCATTTTCGAGGCTTTTTCCCCTGCAGAAACCACCGCATTGGATGATGATCCACCCCTCTCAATGTTCGCCGGCATCTTCTTCGGCTTTGGAACCAGAAGAGTGTAAGGATCTTCGATAGCTGCAGCTTTCCTCTTCTTTTTGACCTTTTTCATCTCCTCCTCAACGGCAACCTCCGTCTCCGAAGTCTCAACCACTTCTTTTTCTGCAGGAATATCCTTGCTGGACTCCCTTTCTAGGGACCTCTTTTTTCCCCTTTTGGGATCTTTCTCTTCTCCCACGTTGGCACGCTCGAACCATATCCTCAGGTCATTGACCCATTCTTCCACCTCCGCGAGCGAAACATCATACGACTTCACTACTTCGTGAAGTTCCAGCACGGACAGCATACTAGTGGTCCACGAAACCCATTCTCTATCCATCTGGTCAGTATCTCCATTGAACTTCAGGAGTTTGAACAGTGGGTCCGCCTCTGCTCGAGCCAAATCTGATTTGCCATCGGACAGAAATGAAATCGCCTCCATCAACAGTTCCGTCATTTTGGTATCATCGTCATAAACCATAAAATCCTCCTCACCATCATCGAACTGTTCAGGAGAGATCTCCTTTTCTCCACCTTTTGCACCAGAACTTCTCCTTGGACCATCCCTTGGGGGCGTCCTTGGAGACCTTGGCCTCTGTTCATCCAGCGGAACACCATGCTCGAAGACACACTTGTCACCATAACGACACTTCCCAGACTGAGCAAACTGGATGCACCTCACACCAGTTGCATCATGCGAGAACGCACACTCCTTCCCAGCGAAGCAGGGTCTCCCCGCCACATAGTATTTGCACCAATACGAATGCAGCACCACATCATCTTCTGAATGGATGAATTTGCAGTCTTCACCAAATTTGCAGCGATCTTTTCCCCTGCTGAACCAATAGCAAAAGCCTTTCTTCCTCTTCTCCAAGCGCTCCGCCTCGTACCGGTCCATAGGGCGATTCTGCTCTACATGAACATTGCCATGTACCTGAGAACTGCTCCCTTCACCCAAGGTGCTATCAGTATTGATGCTTGGAGTACAGCTGGA